CATAGATGCTATCTGAGTTCTGTTAGGTGGTGTGTCATGTAACTTCTCTCTCTGTCCCTTGTTAAGTCATGAGTAAAAGCTACATGTTGCACTGTGCCTGCTTTTGAGGAATCAGAAGAATGGCAGAAGAATGGTAGAACCCTGCTTCAGAGGCGGGCGAGTGCATGAGAAGGCAGAGGGCGACACAGAGAGACGTGAGTCAGAGTCAAAATATAAAAAGTGGTTACTGAGAGACCAAGAGGGAGGAAATGATTTGAAGTACTAGGTGAAATCCTCCCTCAGGGGATACAAATGGTCTAAATTTGTATTTGACTGAAAAAGTATAAAGTGATATATGTTTTAAGCCTATTTCTGCATTTAGTACTCTCAAACATATTTAGAATAGCTACAATTCACTTGTTTGGCTTTTAGAACCTAAAGCATCTGTAACCCTAAGTGATAGTGGGTTAATGCACCTTTATTTCTACTAATAGGCACTCACCGGTAGGTGGTTTCTGGAAGGAGATCCTTCAGAACATGGGTGGTGGTACTGCCCACGGTGATGCTAGCGTCTCCAAGATCAATATTATAAGCAAGGATTTCAGATCCATTATTGCACGGCTCTTCCCAGTTCAGAACAAGGCACACAGAAGGTGAATCAGGATAGGCATTGAGGGTCTCCTCCTCCAGAACACAGAGAGTGGAGACAGGGTCAGGGGCAGATGCTGGTGTCTGGCAGAGGACAAGCTCACTGTACGGTCCTGCTCCAGCTTGATTGGCGGCCTAAAGATGAGACAAAGTCTGCGTCACCCCATGGCACAGTCTAATGCCTCCATGTTAGGTGCTATTTAATAAATCTAAAGTAATACATTATTTACTTCTGGAAATGTAAAAAATAAATCCTAAAAAGTGTTCACTTTAATGACCAGTTTCCAAAGAATGACAATCACATCTCTCCTGTAAGAAAGCTAAAGATAATATTGCTATCATACCCTTTTATGAAAAATAATTTTAGAATAACACTTTGGCCCATTTCAGATTATATATTGTCTTGTGTGGTTGTCACAATAATCATCTGTCGGAGACAGTAAATGGCAAACATCCTTATCTGCCTTCCACAGAGGAGGGAATTCAAGGTCAAACTGAGTTAGAGGCAAAGCTGGGATTGGAATTTAGTAATCTGACTTTTAATAACTCTACTGCTGCCCTGGAAGAGCAATAAAATTTTTAGAAAAGACATTACTGTTTTCCATAGAAATAATAAGCTCAATTCTTACCCCTTTCTGACTTTACCTGAGAGCAAGACCAGTCACTTTTATCACTCACTGCTCTTTCCCTCGGTCTCCAGGACACATACTCTAGTTTCTATTCACCTGCTGCTGCTTCTCAATCACCTTTGCTCATTGCTACTTTTCACCCTGATCTCTCAGCACTGGAGGGTACCAGGGCTCAGGCCTAGGACACCTCTTCTTCTCTACCTCTGCTCAAACTCCCAGAATCTCATCTTGTCTCAGGGGTAAGTGCCACGTATACTCCCAAACTTATTTGTGTAGCTCAGATGTCTGTCTTGGATGTCACTCTGGTGTATCCATTGCTATTTGAGTATCTCTACTTGAATGTCAAACAGGCATCTCAAACTCAAGCCTCCACACAGCAACTTCTTTCTATCCTATTCCTCCTCACCAACTCTGAGTCATCACTGGACATTGTTCGTCCTCTCATACCCCCATCCAGGCCACCAGCACACCCAATACTACCCTAGCCCAATTACACTCTCCTGCACCTGATTCCTGGAACGACCTCCTAACCGGCCTCCTACCATATTCTGAACAAACTTCTAAGTCCTCACAATAGGCTACCAGACCCCAATAGATCTGCTCTCCACCATCACCCTTCCAAAAACCTACTACCACTCTGACTTCATCAGCTACCCCAAGGCCCTCTCTCTCCAGGCAGATCAGCCTCCTTGCTGTGCCACAGCGCCTTTGCAACTTGCTGCCCCTTCTGTCCGCAAACGTTTTCCCCAGACAGGTGCACAGCTTGCTCAGCCATCTCCTCAGGCCTTCTCTCAAGCTCTGCCTTATCCATAAGCCCTGTCTGAACACCATTTAAACTTGCAGTCAGTCTCCCACTTCCATTCACTCTGATCCTCTTTGTTTCTGATTTCCCTTCTGTGCTTTATTTTTCATGATAGCACAGATACACTTTGTTTAATTACTTCTATGAGCCGACTGTAAATTCCATAAGGGTGATGTCTGCTTCACTATTGTATTCCCAGCAACTAGAACAATACCTCACACAGAGTACGTGCTCAATAAATGTTAAGTTGTCCTTATAAAGAGAAAAGCACTTGGCAGTCTTCTTACTGAAGTGACTGTACTCAAAAAGCTATTTCTCATTTACTTCATAGGAGAGTTTATGAGGACAGCTACAAAACTAAAGGATGGTAGTCTGATCTCTTAAAGGTTCAAAACAAAACTTACAATGCCTATGTATTACTGTTAATTTCAAAGACACAAGCTAAGCGAACTTGTTTGTTATCAAATCACTTTTGAAATGCTAGTGAAATATTTTGTCATATCTATTCTTATATCATGACCATACTTCAACTCTTTCTGGTAAAATTTTGATGCCATATGTACTTAAAGAGTATGTACTTGGAGGTTTTTTATTATTTAGCTATTATTTTTTTTAATTGAAGTATAGTTGATAATACAATCTTATATTGATTTCAAGTATTCCACACGGTGATTGAACAGTTACCCATATTATTAAATCCTCAACTCCTCTAGTGCAGTTACTATCTGTCAACATAGGAAGATGTCACAGAATCATTGGCTGTATTCTCCATGCTGTACTACCACCCCCATATTATGACTGAGAATTTTTGTGCTCCATTATCCTCCTCACCCACCTATCCCAGTCCCCATGGTAACACCAGTCACTTCTCTGTGTCTTTGAGTCTACTGCTATTTTGTTCATTTTTTTTTGTTTCTAGATTCTACATATAAGTGAAATCATATGATATTTGCTTTTCTCTGCCAGGATGATTTCACTTAGCATAAAACCCTCTAGGTCCATCCATATTGTCACAAATGGCAGGATACAAATGCATAACAGGGTCAGAATGGCAACAATCATAGAGATCAATATTCACAATGAAGGAAAATTATGTGGCTTTTAGAGCTGGACCTCAGTTCCAATCTTGATTCCATTATTTATTAACTTTGTGATCTTAGGTAAATTAATCTCTCTGAGCCTGTTTCCCCAGATATAAAATGGACAGTAACATCTAATTCACAGAATTATTGTAAAGATTAAACTGGTTAACATGTAGAGTCCTGGCAGTGTTGGGCCTACTTTTGGTACTTCACTTCTCTCCTTCCTGCTGGGAAAACTAAGAACAAAACTGCATTTTTCCTATTTAAAAAAAAAAAAGCCATCTTTTTATTTTGAACTATCTTAGACCAACAGAAAAGTTATAAAAATAATACAGATAATTTCTCTCACTTTGCTTTAGCTAATATTAATACCCTACATAGCAATGATCAAAACCAGGAAATGAACATCGACACAATAGTATTAACTACATATAAACCTGATTCAAATCTTACCAGTCTCTCCAATAATATTCTTTTTCTACTCCAGGATCCCACACAGGATCCCCCTTTCTTTTACTAGCTTTATTCTGTGAAAAGTGCTTTCTTGATATATACCAGTTATTATTACCAATTTTCAAAGGAAACAATTTAGGAGAGTCTTTTACTAAATAAATGTATGCCTTCAATATATATGATATGCCTCAAGTGAACATAATTATTTTGGTACTTGTTAATCAAAATATTGCTAAGAAAGACTATAAAAATTTAGAAATTCCTGAGCAAAACAAGAAATGTTTCACCCAATTATTATAAAATACAGTAGGTTTTCCAGTGATTTAATTTTAAGGATGCCAATATAAAAAAAAAATCTAGTTTAACCTAACTTTGTAGTTATGGCATATGAAAATAATTTATATTTGGCTCATAGATACCAAGAAATCAATACAGGTTGAGGACACCCCTGTCCTAGCAATATTTCCTTAACACAGTAATGGTGGTCTTAAAAGTACTATCCCCTTTCTAGGGTCTGACTCATTTATGACAGACAAGTATACACATTTGAAAATATTTTCTACTTCTGACTATCAAAACAGGGAGACAAGATTATTATGCAGGTGCTATTCTTACCAATGTGTCTTTTAAAATGAACTTTGGTAAGTCAGTGCTAAGTGACAATATATTCCATAAAAGGAAAAAAAGGAAGCAGAAGAACATTTTAAAGAGAGACCAAAACCCAAAAGCATAGCAAGGTTCTTTCCTGTGTGGCGGAGAGGTTTTTATTTATATCCTGCCTTGTTCCAAAAACAGGACTGTAGTACATAATTTTACCCTTTTTCACAATGACTCAGCACCACTTATAAAGATCAGACAATGTGCTGTGACTGTGACACAGTGACAAAGGGTTAATTATGTCCCAGGTGCTCCATCCAAGAAGGAAGGAAGGAAGGTACATAACGAAAGTTTAATCAGAAATGTTTATGATAAAGCATGCTTCAGAATTTAACAAAAAAGCTTCAGTTAATCGGGAAAATTAATTTATGAAGGGAGTATTTTCTCCAAAGAAGCCAGAGACACTAATATCAATGGACTTGTAATAAGCAATTTGATCCTTGATTTAAATCAGCTGGAACCTAAATCTGGTATCTTAGCTTCCTTATCTATTTAAATCTAAATGTGTGTAAAGACAGAATTCTTCAAGGTCAAGAATAACATCTGATTAATCTTTGTATCTCTCCTTTTGATCTTCCTGATTGTCCTTTGATTCTGGCACAAAGTAATGCTCTAGAAATGTTACTGACCAAATGGAAAGAAAAGGACAAAGAACTCTGTTTTATTGAGACAATAAGGCTTTACAACAGGAAAAAAAATTGATCCACATCAATAAAGTAAAAGTAAACCCATGAGCATTGTCAGTCTCAGGGGTTGGCTTGGAGATGACTGTTCTAGATGTTACTCTACTGGGGCTCCCAGGTGGATGCTTACAGACAACCAGCCTTGCTAATGGTCACTGAGAAGCGAAGCTGAGTCCCATAAGCCAATGCAGACTAGTTGGACTGAGGTTTGCTTTGGCTCCACTTAATAGCCAGCACATACATTTTCTGTCTTTTGCTGGTTATAAGTGGCTTTCCCACTGAAATGTGCATCTCAAGGGGAATCAGACAGAAGGAATCTTCCCTAAGGAGCTGTGACAACTTTGTCTTGGACTGTCATTTATTCAGTGAACTGACAAACAAGGAAAATGCAAGGATGGTGAGAAGTAGAGTGGAGAAGAAGCTGGTTTTGTTATTATGTTACGGAAGCAGAAGTTAATTGTAAAATACCAAAACAATGAAATTTATTTTTATTTAAAAGGATTCTCTATTCCATATCATCCCTCCTGATAGCCTGCATATGACTTTTGGGATAAGTTTCCCCAAGAGTCTTTTACGGAACACCACTGTTTATGAGTAACATCTGAATAATGCCAACCTACCTGTAGTCTACAGCAATATTGTGCAGCTGGCAACAGATCCCTTATTTCAAAGCCGGTGTCTGTCCCATGATAAATGAGTTCTAAGGATTCTTCATCTTCTCCCCATTCCAACCTGTACTCTGAGATGTCGGCACCAGAGCTTTCAGGACTCTGCAAAGTAGAAATTCAAGCAGTTAATTTCATTGAGAAGAAAATCCTATAACTTTTGTGTTCAATGAACTCAACTGGTAAAGACAGTAATGTGCCTCAGGATATTTCAAATAGACACAAAAGAAAAGCATGCAAGAAATAATCAATCTCCTCTCAGTTTTGACCAGTGGTAAAATTTCTACAACTCTAAATGACATAAGCAAGTGCCAAGGGAGATTAATGTGTAAGAATCACCGTATGTGATTTGGGGGCAGATAAAGGAGAATAAATAGAAATTGATCTGTAACATGTGCCTGACTCACCTCCCAACTCACTAGGACACATCCATCAGGCGTAAAAGAAATACAAGGTGCTTTGCATTGTCCAGGAGGCCCTGCAGCAGTGGTAATTTCTGACACATCAGAGTAGGGGCCATACTGAAAGAGAAGAGCACACACATGCTTCTGTGTATGCTGTGCACACACACAAGCTAATAACTAAATAAGGGCTAGGCTAACACCATCATCAATACAATTGGTTAAAAAAATTTCACCTAATGGTTTTTGTTTTCAATAATTATGTATATGGGTTTTTTTCCTACAGACATTCTTTGAGTGATAAATATCTATTACATAAGTATATTCTTTTTATTTACAAGGATTATTTTTATTTAAAAAATTGTATTCATTCAACATGATTTACCAAACATTTTCCTTTACTGTGACATTTGAAACAAAAACATGCTGAATTTTGACACAATACAGTTGTTCTAACATTTCTGTTTTTAGAGTTTGTTATCTTTAACATTGAAGAAACTAAGTCAGATGGACACTGCAGTTTAATTTTTAATGCATAAAATCTACTCAGAACTGTTGGTTATCAAATTCTGGGAATTTCTTCTAGTTACTGGTATTTTCCATTTTGAACTCTAATGCTCCTGCCGGTGTGTTCTCAGCACGTCCCCACCATCTCAGCTATCTGAAGGCTGACACTGTGCCCCCACTGCATCACTATCAGTGACCGCCCTGCTCAGAGCCAACCACCACCAGAGAGTCCAAACACTTCAAGAGAAGCATCATCACTCATTTTTAATAGTGCAGTATGTGATACTTCAAAGAAGTGGGGCCAAGGGTAAATTAAAATAATATACAGGCTAATGAAGTATATGTTTCCCAAAACAGGAAAAAAAATTAATACAAAAACAAAATAGCTCATATTTCCCAAGACAACTTGAGAATATACTGGGGGAGGGTGGGTGGGAAATGCTCTGCAAGAGATCTCAGAAGGTGACTACAAGCCAAATACATGGCTACTTTCCAATATAAGAGGAATAAATGAAGCCTGCCAAGAGGTTCTTTATGTGATTGATTAGCGAAAGGGGTGAAAAAGTGAAACTCTCATCAGTGCAGTTGCACACGTATCTTAGTTATGGCAGAGAATCCCAGAAAAGTTGATGGGAAAAGGGTAAAAAGAACAGTAAAGAAAGTTTCTGCGTCATCTGTGATGACCACCCATCCTCCTCTTACTCACAGAAAGTTGGTGTGCAGGCTCTCTTATCTTTTCATCAATACATTTTTATTGTTTAATTTCACTTAAAAAAAATTGAAACAGTTATGCTACATCTGAAATTCTTTCCTAATGGGGAATCAGAAGAGATCCAGCTCCTATTAAAGGTCAGAAGTCCTCCCTCAGACCAAAGGTCTCCACAGTCAGTCGTAGTTAACATCAATCATACTAAAGACCACACATTCCACTTCTGGAAGGCCTGAATAGGACTACCAGGAACTCGAAAAAGTCACCATCAACGTCTGTCATGGTTAGTTGGGCTTATTTTTAAAGTCACCTTCAATTAAATTACATCTGTTTATTCACAAGGAACTCATCTGTACAAATCACTGGAATTTTGGTGACATTAGCACTCTGCTTTGCCCACACCCTTCTGCCTTCTTTTATGTTTCTGCTCATCAGTGACACTTCGAAAAGCCCTTTCTTACAGTATCTGGGTCACCTCGTTCTCATTCTGAATCTACCTGAAATAATAAGCTAGGCTCTACCTCACTCCAGCTTTAAAAACTGACCTAAGATATTGCTGGGTAATTTAGACAATATGGTAAAGGAATATTATGAAGTCCTAATTTCCCATAACTGATTAATACAGTCAATGAGCAAATAGGGAATTATTTGTAAAACTACCAAAACATCTAAAGAGGGACATTCTTACTAATCTTGAGCTCTGTTAATAGAATGATAGGACAAAAGAACCAGAATTTCCAATGTGGGGTCTATATAAAATCAGAGTCATCTTATCAATTCAGAAGGATTTTTTACCTTTTGTCAAGGTTGAATAGGCACTGCTGAGGAACTGCAGGAGGGTAGAAATGTTAAGAGACAGAACCTTATATTTTGATAGTGGTGCATAACCGTATACTCACCCCTCCGTCATTCAGAGCCCTCACCCTGAAGCGATACACAGTTCCGGGAAGCAGGTTGCCCACCGTGCACTCGAGCTCCGGCCCGTGGTACACCTCGGAAGCTACCTCCTCAGGTTCCGTCATCTCCACACTGTACTCCGAGACCTCACAGCCACTTTCAGAAGCAGGAACATCTGGGAATGGAGAATGTTTCTCTTCTGAGAACATCTGTATACTTTCAGCTGACTGAATTACACTTGATTTTCCATGGCTTGCAAACTCACAGAGGTGGCCTGTCCCCAAGTACCTTTCTTACAAAAGAAACTCCCCTCCCCCAAAAGAAAAGCGATACAGGAGAACAGTTTCTGAATGATGTTATCCACACTTTCCAAAGCAAGCACATGTCAGTGCGTGTGAATTATTAATAAAATAACTTGAAAAAAATAGAATAGGCAAATTTCTTTACATTCTAAGGCAGGGGAAGAGGAAGACATGGAGGGAAGAAAATCTCTTAAAATCTTTACTTAAATCAAGAGAGATGAAGCAAAGTTGGCACAATATTTTATTATATTTTAGACATATGTGGTCTAAAAAAAAAGTCTGACAGAGATTTGTAGGCTTATATTTGCAATTTTACGTGCTGTAAACTGTTTTTTTTTGCACAACTTTTTTTTTGAATAAAGTTGAAAAATTACTGAAAAAGACTGGCTGGTCTGAAGCCTTTTCTGGAAAAGTACCCTCTGAAGGGTAGAGGATGAATAGTGTACAAGGATTCTCCTCTCGAATAAAAACCCAAGCCAATGAATGTTAAAAACAATATGGACATTTTCAACAGAAAAGAACATTTTCAGAAAGAAGACTTCCAACTTAATGACATAGCATTAAGTCTTAAACTCAATCTCCAATTGTCCAAACTGTCAATGTCAATGTGCAGATTTGTTCACTCACCCCACTCTAAGTGGACTTCTTTGTGCTTTGGTCTGCCCAAAACCCTCGGTGGTCGGCACTGACCTGGTGCAATGCTTAGTGTGCGAACGGGAAGACTTTCAGAACACTGCAGAAGAAACACCAAAGAGAACCGTCTCTTAGTTACAGTGAGTTTACCACACCTCTACATACCAGGCAGATTACCCCCTATAACTGTAAATGCTACCAAATAGGGTTTAACATTGAATACGTACAGATATCTTTTATGCAGTAAGAACTTCATATGTATGTGTAGGTGTGTTTTATGTGTGGGCATGTCCTGCGTATGTTACTCATAAGATGAATATTTCTGAAGTCAGATTTGTAGACATGAGTACTACATATCCTAAGGACACAATTATTTTCCTCTAAACCAAAATTAGACCCTTCATGAGGACAGAAGAGAGCACAAAACAACAGCTGGATGAAATTTGTAAATGCTGTCATAAATGGCCAACCATCCACATACAGAGCAGAAAATCAAACAAAGTCAATTATTAATCAACTGAGTCTGACATTAACCAACAGGTTCTGTTAATGCTAAAATAAGTAGGCCTTCTTTTTGTAGCATCTGGTTCTATAAGGCAGGGGGTGTGGAAGTTGACCCCCTTTTAGAGAAGGGAGAAAACAAAGTGGAGTTATGCAGCTCAGCCAAACTCACTGTTCTTCCTGAGGAGAAGCAGTGCAGAGGGGCTGTAACTGTATTTGAGCAGCACCATCTTTGTGCTGCCCCGTGAAGTGCTCACACACAGGAGGTGCCCACTATATCTATATCCCAGCCTGGGAGACACTCTGAGAGCTCGGGCACTGCACGAGAATGGTCTAACTGACCCTTCCTTTCACAGACAGTGTGTGTGTGTGGGCAGTGTAGACAACACCACGCCACTATCCTTGGGCGGTGCTGGGGGAGAAAATATATGTGGGAGAACACTGGAGGTGGGGTAACTGGCAAAATTAAACACCCTACTGGCAGACAGTCTCTTGAAAAGTCAATCCAGCACAGGGCTATATGCTACCATCTCTCAATTTCTTTCTCTTAATGATTCCAAACCACAATGTTAAATATCTCTACAATGAAAATGTCTTTTTAGTATTTGTCTTTTACTCACTTTCTGATTATACAGCCATTTAGATAACAACTCTCACTTCTAGAGATAGTTCCTGTGTGTATATCAGGTTGCTCTGAGCCCATGAGAACACCATGTGGTGGGAACCAAGGCTCCTGACCTGCCAGCTGCCTGGCCTGAGGTCATGTAAACAGTAGACAGCAAGCGACATGCGCTGCTGCCTACAGATGTGTAACCTGGGCACTGCACAAGTGCTGTCACCACAGATTTATATGATTTTGATAATAATTTTCCAGCAGATGGCACTAAAGTACCTTGAGAAAGATATATCCTGTATTCGTAAAACTGCCACATTGGGGTAACAGCAGGACAGTGGAGGAGGTCACACTTTTTTGACTCTAAATTCTATGCGTTTCTGTGATTGTAGTAACTGAGGTTCAACCCCTTTCTTTGGCTAATACTAATTCCACATAACACTCAGTTTTCAACTGTCACAGGTGATCATGTCAAAGTACTCTAAGAAATAATAATTAAGTGATAAACATACCTGAAAATACCACAATTCAATTGAGAATCATCTGGGGCCTATCTTTTACATTCTCTAAAGTACAATTAAAAAAACAATCTCTAGTTTTCTTTTCCTGACATGATACCATATCAAGTTGCATCACCATGATACATTTTCAAATAGCAATTTTATTTTAAATCATAGACAGGTTGTCCAAAGATGTTTACTTTTAGACTGAAACAAAACCGACCTGACTGTGTCCACCAGTACTGATGCAGCATGCTCGGAGTTTGTACAAAGTGCCTGGTTTCAAGTGGGTGAACGTGTATTCTGTAGCCGATCCACTGTACGCCACTTCCCACTGACTCGCTGTAAAACAAGACTCGTGTATGAGTTGATGCCTTTTTGTAAAAATGGAATAGTATTAACTGCTACTGATAAGAAAAAGCTCTGAATGGTTTCTATGAAAACCAGCATCTCTCTCTTTTTTACTTAGCTCTGCTGGCTAGACCACTTCATATCACCACTACTGCACAGGCTGACCCTGAGGTTGGCACAGCTGAGGGGGTCGGGGAGGCTGGTAAAAGGAGACTGAGGATGGTGCTGAGCAAGCTATGAAATGCTTCTGGGGTGAGCAGGCCTCTGGGCCAGCCGGGCGAGGGGAAGGCTGCCGGGCCGTGAGGTTCCGGTCTGTCTGGGGCACTGCTGAGGAGTTCCTCCCTGTTCTTATCTGCTTGGAGGTCATAGTGAGTGAAATCCTCCCACTACAGATGGACTCTGGGAAAGGCTTTCTTCATGGAGCCACACTTAAAAGCCAGCAACACCTGGCAGGATGACGAAGATGAAACACTCTGTGTGACTCAGTTTTCTGGCCACTTCTCAGGACTAAAGAATGGAAGCAGGGTCACCGGTGGGGTCCGGGTACCCAGAGTGAGGCCGGTGCCACAGGAGGAAGGCACCTGAGGCGGCTTCTACCGCAGCTGCCCCACCAACCTCAGCTGCAGCCACACTCTGCCTTCTCTGTTCTACTCGGACAATGTTTCCAGCTGACTATTTTATGAAAGGGTTTATTCTATGAAGTTGTTTTAGAAAAAATTTTTTATCCTAATCCATAGTTTACTAAAGTCACTTCCACAGATTCCCTCAGGTACTGCTTGGGTTACATGTACAGGGAAGTCCCATGAACTAGGGCTTCCCGGGAGAGGGGATGTTAAGGGCAGTTATCCTGACATTACTGACTGGGAAACCTGGGCTAAAAAGGTACCTGTGAGCAAGGGTGGCTGAGAAGGTTCAGTTAATCAGCCATGGTATGCACTGGTGAAGCTGTTAACCGTAAGCAGACAATAGCATCTACTTTTGATTTGTTACCAGTGGTCAAGAGTCATGAAAATTCAAAATATATTTAGATTTTTCACAATGAACTGCTACATATACATGACTAATCTCCTAGGCAGGCTTTCTACTGTAAAAAACTAAATCAAATTTTTATTGCAGAGTATTATATTAAGAATAGCTGTGCCCAGCTCAAAGAATTCTCATGTTTTTAGCTTAAAATAGGATCTGACAGGAAAAACAAATACTATAGGTGGCTACTGTGGTACAGAATAAAAGGCAAGCCACACACCTGCTCTGCTTGTTTGTGAAAGTTACTGTTAATTCTATTTGTTTTTATCATGTGCATGTCTAACTTTTAAAAAAAAATGGTTACAGGGATTGTTGAAATAGTGAGATATGTTATTTTAAGGTTCTGATGACAATGTGTGGCTTTCTTTTTCCTATTAAAGCCTTATTAATTTTCTTAGAAAGAATCTAAGAATTGCTTAAAAGGCACTATTTTAAGGAATTTGATGTCTAACTTTGTCTCATTTTAATCCATATAGCCTGACAAGTAATGAATAAATAATCTGAAGATGAAAAGGCATTTTCAAAACCTGTTATAAAAGTGTATTTTGTTTGTCATCATTATACACAAGAATTTGTAGATTTTTGAACTTGCACGCTGCCTTCACTTTATCCTTCCTGCTGATGGCTTCTAACACTCTCTCTGCTTATAAGAATTTCTGGACAACGTGTGCTAAGAGAGGGGATGAAAAACTTAATTCAATCATTCTATTAATTAGGACTTTGGGCTTAAATGAATGACACAGGAAATTTAACATGATAAAAATGTCCATTTCAATCAGATTCTGATCTATGATGTTTGTGAAAGAGAAAAACTATCAATATGTAATTAAGACTTGTTTATTCTAAAAGATCTATCATTAGAATTGTCTGCCCACCATTACTATATAGAATAGGGCTTGCTACTGGATTTGAATACAACAATTTCCAAAAACTTCACCTTCCGAATTTCCATCAGTAATCTCCAGCAAGTACTTGAGTATTTCTGAACCACCACTGTCCTTTGGAGGATCTGCAAAGTTAGCAAATGTCTCATTAGTTATAAAAGGGCATTGATTTTTATTGGTAAATAACACTGGAACACACAACATCATGAAACATCGTACTGCCTTAATTCTGGATTTAACCAAAAGGAACAGTAATTAATATATTATTTCACTCAACTCTATCCTTGGAAAACAAAAGAAACAAAAACTCCAAGAAACCTTGAATACCATCTGGTTACTCTAAGTTCTTAGAGCTTGAAAAGTCAGTTAGCATTTATGTAGTGAAACATGAGCAAAACTCACAATATGAATTAACTTTTTTAAGAGTTAATAACTTTACTGTGAGAATCTATAGCCTTCTTTTTCACAGTAACTTTAATATGAGATGAAAACTTATATATTTCTTTTTAAAATTATTTTCTTTTTTATTTCATTTGTATTATCAGTGACCAGATTCTTTTGAGATGGAGGGGGAAGTATAAAATTTATTGACAAAATAAGTAACATCAGAATGTAATAAATCTGTTCTGTCACAGTTTGCTACCTAACAAACTTTATATTCCAAGTGAACCTGCTATAAAACAGGAGTCTGGATCAATAAGAAAGTGCACCAAAGAAATGGTCTGAGGAAGACGCCTGGCTTCTCAGCAGAGCCCTAAGGCACTTTGGGTATTTAGTTCATGCTAACATCTTGTGCTTACAAGTTTTCTGAGCAGAAAAATATATTGCATTACAATTTCACTTGACAGTGCAGAATTTACCTCTACATCAGTCGGCTACCTCTGTATTTTACACATACCTTCAGATTATTCATATAGATTTAGAAACTCTACTTTCCTTCTCATTTTACTTGGTATTTTCACTAACTTATACATACTTCAGTAGTAGATATTTAGAGCAATAATTATCAAGTCATATATTATAGCATGTGACTAATGAAAGTAAAAATTCAGTATTGGTGGTGGTTTCTAGGATTTTCTGAGGAAAAAAAGCTTTACAGTCAGGCTCAAAAAACACCAAGATTTTTTTTTTTGAGGAACATTGTTTACTAGACTCCCCCCTTCACCAAGTTGCCCCCACAAACCCCATTACAGTAAGTGTCCATCAGCATAGTAAGATGCTGTAGAATCACTACTTGTCTTCTCTGTGTTGCACAGTCCTCTCCATGCCTCCCCCCACATTATACATGCTAATCTTAATGGCCCCTTTCTTTATTTCCCCCACCTTATCCCTCCCTTCCCACCCATCCTCCCTAGTCCCTTTCCCTTTGGTAACTATTAGTCCATTCTTGGGTTCTGTGATTCTGTTGCTGTTTTGTTCCTTCAGTTTTTTCTTTGTTCTTATACTCCACATATGAGTGAAATCATTTGGTACTTGTCTTTCTCCGCCTGGCTTATTTCACTGAGCATAATACCCTCTAGATCCATCCATGTTGTTGCAAATGGTAGGATTTGTTGTCTTCTTATGGCTGAATAATATTCCATTGTGTATATGTACCACATCTTCTTTATCCATTCATCTACTGATGGATACTTAGGTTGCTTCCATTTCTTGGCTATTGTAAATAGTGCTGAGATAAACATAGGGGTGCATCTGTCTTTTTCAAACTGGAGTGCTGCATTCTTAGGGTAAATTCCTAGAAGTGGAATTCCTGGGTCAAATGGTATCTCTATTTTGAGCTTTTTGAGGAACCTCCATACTGCTTTTCTACAATGGCTGAACTAATTTACATTCCCACCAGCAGTGTAGGAGGGTTCTCCTTTCTCCACAACCTTGCCAACATTTGTTGTTGTTTGTCTTTTGGATGGTAGCGATCCTTACTGGTGTGAGGTGATATCTCACTGTGGTTTTAATTTGCATTCCTCTGATGATTAGCAATGTGGAGCATCTTTTCATGTGTCTGTTGGCCATTTGAATTTCTTCTTTAGAGAATTGTCTGTTCAGCTCCACTGCCCATTTTTTAATTGGATTATTTGCTTTTTGTTTGTTGAGGTACGTGAGCTCTTTATATATTTTGGATGTCAACCCCTTATTGGATCTGTCATTTATGAATATATTCTCCCATACTGTAGGATGCCTTTTTGTTCTATTGATGGAGAACACCGAGATTTTTACATTTCATCTTAATCATATCTAGCTTCCAGGACAATAGATAGCCTAATAATTCTGCCTCAAAACTATTAGGTGGAAGAAGTTAAACTGTCACTGTTTGCAGAAGACATGATATTGTACATAAAAAACCCTAAAGAATCCACTCCAAAACTACTAGGTCTAATATCTGAATTCAGCAAAGTTACAGGATACAGAATTAATACACATAAATCTGTTGTATTCCTATACACTAATGATGAACTAGCAGTCAGAGAAAACAGAAAAGTAATTGCATTCATAATCAGATCAAAAAGAATAAAATACCTAGGAATAAACCTAACTAAGGAAGTGAAAGACCTATACCCTGAAAACTACAAGACACTCATGAGAGAAATTAAAGAAGATACCAGTAAATGGAAACACATCCCATGCTCATGGATGAGAAGAATTAATACTGTCAAAATAGCCATCCTGCCTAAAGCAATCAACAGATTCAATGCAATCCCTATCAAAATACCAATAGCATTCTTCAACAAACTACAGCAAATCATTCTAAAATTCATATGAAACCACAAAAGACCCCAAATAGCCAAAGTAATCATGAGAAGGAAGAACAAAGCTGGGCGTATTGTGCTCCCTGACTTCAAGCTCCACTACAAAGCCACAAGTACAAGACAATTTGGTACTGGCACAAGAACAGACCCATAAATAGATCAATGGAACAGAATAGAGAGCCCAGATATAAACCCAACCATATATGATCAATTAATATACGATAAAGGAGCTACGGATATACAATGGTGAAATGACAGCCTCTTCAACAGCTGGTGTTGGCAAAACTGGACAGCTACATGTAAGAGAATGAAACTGGATTACTGCCTAACTCCATTCACAAAAGTAAACTCGAAATGGATCAAAGACCTGAATGTAAGTCATGAAACCATAAAACTCTTAGAAGACAACATAGGCAAAAATCTCTTGAATATAAACATGAGGAACTTTTTCCTGAACTCAATTCCTCGGGCAAGGGAAACAAAAGCAAAAATGAACAAATGGGACTACATCAAAATAAAAATCCTCTGTACAGCAAAGGACATCATCAGCAAAACAAAAAGGCATTCTACAGTATGGAGAATATAACTCTGACTTTTCTAGTTCTAAGAACTTAGAGTAACCAGATGGTATTCAAGGTTACCTTGAACACCATGTCAGAATTTACTTACAATGACATACCTGAATTTTGTAACTTACTTTCAATATTAATTTTATAAATCCATTTGTTACATTAACTATTACTACTTTTTTAAGGGCAAGTTTCTGAAGAATGAAATACATATTCAGAGACAACTACATTCAAATGAGTAATACATAAAAGAAGGAAAATGTGTAACAGGAAAATCATAAATTAGGTAAGATGCTCTCACAGTTGTCCATTTTACCAATTTATGGAATTCTCAAATATTTCTCATGTACATATTCCAAATATGTAAAACCCCCACATTTTATTTTGGTTAGTCAATACTGAAATTAATCAATTCTTCAAAAAAATCTGTCAAAAAACAAACAGTAACAGGAGACAAGTGTACCCCATTTGACACTGAAGCCATGAGCTGTAACTGGTCCTTTGATGAGGGGTCTCGTCGGAGTTCCGGGCCTGTCAGGACTCGTTGTGCACACCAGAACTTCGCTCGGACAACTCTTCCCTTCCACGTTGGAAGCAGTCAGCTGTAGAGCCGAGAAAGCACGAACATGCTGTACATCCCAGGCACTGAATCAGCAGGGACTCTCCAACGGCAAGATCGAGGCCTCCACACACCCACATGGACACTGACACACACACACATCTGCTCTCTTTCTTAATCTCAAATAAGTGATTTAAAGAAGTTTCTTTCATGGAGTACTTGTTTTCTGTATAGTTGGCTATTAACAATTGAAAATAAAACCATAAGCTGGGTTTCAGCTAAAGACATTTTATCCTTTCAAGAAGATATAAAACCAGTAATAACTACCTAGTTCTATTGTTTTGTGGAAGGAAAATATTGGTGGTGGGGATTGGGGGGAAAGCAGATAAACATAACCTCACTTAAAAGAAGGGCAATGCCATCTTGTGGAGAAATGCTAGTAGTGTACCTATGTTCTCAGAGCTCACATTTTAACGAGGGTCTTTTAAAATTTTGAAGACTCTCATTTTCCTCAAATAGTCACACACTCCACTTGGTAATTTTACAACTATTTATTAAGTGACTACTATGTGCCAAATAATTCCATTTAGCCCCCAAATTAGAAAAGGAGGAGTAGAGTCAGAACCCAACCTTCTTTCTCCAAAATGCACACTGTCTAATAGTAAATAACACAGTGCTGGACCCAGGATCAACAAACAGTGGCACTGCATGGATGCAGCAGGCTGGGTGCACTCTCTGAGTGACTGCAAAGCACTAGTTTTAGCAACAACACAGAGTCCTGTGGTAGCATTAATGATGGTGTTAATGCCCAAAGCAAGGCCTAGGTGGGGAAGGAATGGGCCATGGGGTAGAAAAATAAAAACAGTTGAGGAAAAAATAATGGGTAGAAGAGCAAAAGAAAGTGGAGAATAAAGAGGACTCTGACTACAAGGAGAAACACCAAAGAGAAAGGGGGGTGGCGTGCAGATGAGCGGCAGGGACACTGGGCATTTGGTTTGGGGCCTCCCAGGCAAGGGCACCTGGCCACGCTGTAATGCAATTTATTACAACACATTACAACAGTTCTCTTTCTCATAAGTGGGGTTTTAAAGTATGGTGTGCATTTCATAAACGTTAGTTTAAAAATGTGAAGTGCAGTAACCTTAAAACAATTTTGTGACCTGCAGAGTCAATGCGAAATTGTAAATGGATGAAACAAAAAACAGCTTATTTTTTAATCTGTTTAGGTACCAACATGACTGACTCACCCTGAATTTATACTGTGTGCTTCTTTTGAGATTTTTCACAGTACAGGTTAAATCCTCTCCAGTGTATTTTGGGTGGAAAAGGTTATCCTGAAAAGGCAAAGCCAGAAAAAAACAATGTTATAAAATCTGGGCACTGAATACCTTTTAGGGAGAATTTTTGTATCGCCTCTTTGCATCATCCCAGTGGGCCAGAGGTCTGGCAGCTACTGCAAAAAGAGAATCTCTCTCATGCATCCATGGTGCTTGTGGATAGCATTCTAGCTTTAAGTAAAAATTTAACTCTATCACATGGTAATTTCTCCTGTGTCTTGTTCAACTTTACTGTGAGGCTAACACTAATTTGCATGAGAACAATGGTCTCTCTTTGAGAAAATGTAAATTTGTTTCTGAATAGATGCCACCATGTTTTTCTCAAAGAGCAAACTTTTCCTGGTTACTACTTATTAAGCATTTTAAATAACTAATTTAACCACTAAGTAGTACTAGGTGACAAAGGAGTATGCACTCTAAAAAAAAATTTCACTTAACAATGTAGTCATGAAAAAAGCCTCTAGTATTGAGGTCTTCACTGTTGAGCTTCAATGTGCTCCACAGTAAGCTATGGCTGAGGTTTCTACTAACCACATACTGTCCTCTTCTGGCTAAGGGAGAAAGACCAACTTGGATGTGGAAGGCATGGTCCTTTAAGAGGACAAATATACAACTAAAAGCTGAATGTGCAGAATTCATTCAAGAGCATTCTCAATCATGAATCCATCCACCATCATTACTGAGCACCTTCTGTGAATCACACTCTAGGGGCTCAGCACTGCCCAAGAACAGACAAAGCCTTGCCCACGAGAAACTTAAATGCCAGCTGGAGAAAGTGATTTAAAAAAACCGTAAAACCTGTATATAAATACAGGGCATGTCATGTGGTCCTATGTGCTATGACAAAAATATTAAGCTGGGTAAAAGGACAGTGGTGGATCTAGTAAGGTGCTGCTTCCTTATAGCTGCATGAGTTTAAATAAGGCAGCCACATGGGGGTCTTTAAATTTAAATGAAATACAATAAAAAATTCAGTTCTTGGGACCACTGCCATATTTCCAGTGCTCAGTAGCCACGTGTGACTAGGTGCTACCTCACTGGAGAGTGGACCATTTACATCACCATGGGAGGTTTTACTGGATGGCACTGACACTGTGGGCAGGGGAGGGCTCTCCAAGGGGTTACATGTGAGAAGAGACCTGAGGGAAGTGAGTCAAGGGCATCTGGAAGGGCATTCCAGCTGCAGGCACAGAACTGCAAAGGCCCTGAGGCCAGGGCACACCGGTGTGTTCCCAAGACTGCGGGGGCAGGCAGAAGGGCAGGAAGGAATAATCCCGTAGTGGAGGACCATACAGGCACTGTAAAAGCTCTGCCTTTTACCCTGGAAGGGAGTGGAAGGCACTGACATGGAAGGGGCTCTGAGCAGAGCAATAACGTGAATGTATTTTATTGAAGAGATCACTGAGGTTTCGTGTGGAGAACAGACTGTAGTAAAGGTAGGGAAACAGGTCAGATGCCACCATGAGAGTCCACGGGTAAGGTCACGGTGACCTGGAAAGGGTAGTAGCTCTGTAGACATTGAGAAATGGTCAGATTTCTGGATAATTTTTTAAAGAAGATTTAAAGGGGTTTAACTGATTATACATGGAGGTCAAGGATGACTGAAATTTCTTGTTTTCCCTAGTGCAAGGACAGGGATGTCACTTACCAAGATGAGGAGGACTGAGGGAAGGACAGCCTCCTGCTGGCGGTTGTAGTGGTAGAAATTAAGAGTTTGGTTTTGAACTTAAGTGGCTAATTCCTGATGTCCTCTAGTTATGATGATGCTGACTTACAGGGAACATATGCCAGGGAACAAAATCTGAAAAACTTACATGTTCATCCTCCTGGATTTCCAAGGTGTAGGTAACCACCTCCTCATGTGAACAGCCTTCTGGTTTATTCCACTGCAACGTGACCCATGTGACCCCAGCTCGAACAAGTCTCGGGGCAGAGGGCATCTGAGGAATGTTTCCTAATGTGTAGCACACCACCTCTTGGCTATAACCACTGTAGAGAAATAACCCCAATGAGACACATGTTTAGGGATGTGTGAGGATATCTGGCATTTATAAGAGGAAAGAGAAACCTACCCACTGCCCACCTCGTTTGTGCTGGAAAGTCTGGGGCCTGATTCAGCAAGCAGAGGAAGGCAACGATCCTTCCTGAGATAGTAGTCCCTGCCACCACTCTCCATGTGCCCAATTTCCCCCTTCAGTCGCTGCTACAAAAGTATACCATGGTATAGGACAATATATTTTGGAGTTTATTTTCCCTCCAAAGCACCCAGCAGTAAGCACGACACACTGCAATATTTATCAAGCTATGAACCACAAAGATTAAGGGGCCTTCAAATCAGTATAATCACAAATAACCGTCGGTGAAAGAAATGCTTTATAAATATACACAGTGCTATTTTTCAAAAGTTTGTGGGTGCTTCCAAGTCATTTATAAATTCTTGAAACCATATAAGCCTTATCATTAAGAATTTTTCAACAAATGGACTCTAAAAATGCAGTGGCTATGATGGTTAGGGAGCAAGGGCCGTAAAACCTTGTGATGTTAAGAAGTTCTTTAGGCTAGAAAAAAGGTTGGGGACCGATGATGTCTGAACCTTTAGGATTTTCAAAAAGCAGTGATGAAAAAGATACTTCCTTTAATCAAGAGTTACCCAGAAAGTACAACTGATATATGGTCTTTTTCAAAGCACCTTTAATTCACTGACACTTCATTGTACACCTGTTCTTGCCATTCTTCTGCAGCTTGCAGGCAAGCTGTGGTATCCTAGACAGGCCAGATTTTTTCCAATCCTGTGCGTACCTGTCCTGGGCTTGACAACAATGGCTGGCTCAGCACCCCTTTCCTTGTATCAGGAAACACTCACACATAATTGAAAATGACAACTGAATGAGTAGCTTGCAAAAGTGATGAAAGAAAAAGGCGCATGATCTGAAAAAATAAAGCCCCAAGAGGGATTCCTTTCAAAATCTGCACTGTTGCTTTCATTTTGGTTCAGAGGCTCCCAGAGGGGTCTTTGCATTATAGCTTCCAAGACCGCCAAGAGGCCACACAGAGGCATCTACCACCTCGGAAAGGACCCTCTACCTTCTGTTAGGATTCCCTCTAGGAAAATCTCAAATTGCTTCAGTGTGGAGGCAGTGGGCATCTTCACACCTTCCAGCAACATGAAATGAAGACTCAGAATCACCACACAAACATTAATGGCATAAGGACAAGGAAACGCCATACCTGGTGCCGATGTCATTCCGAGCAGCCAGCCTGAATGTGTAACCCATCGCTGGACAAAGCTTTGTCAGCTTGCAATGCTTCTGGCTGCCAAAGAAGCACTGTCTAAAACCACTGTTTCTTTTTCCCTAAAAGAAAACAGTGAAATAAAGTGCATCAATTTTTTGAAAAAATAAGAAAATGACAGAGCATTTTGAATAATTATTTAATTTTCTAGTCTGAATGAACAAAACCAAGAGAAGGAAAGCTTCGAGGGAAGTGCTTGTGTTGCATGCAAAGCCTTCTACAAAGATATGCCATCTTTAATGTAAGGGTGCTACAGAAATTTGGTAACTGAGACTAATAATAGTAATGCACTTGTATTTTCTAAAGTCTTTTTGGTTAATAAAATAAGAAAAGGTCCTTTTAGGCTCAGTTTCTAAGATGTTTGTCACTTGGGTTGGTCTTCAGCCTCAGAGGGATTACTGCCTATGGAAGGAAATGCACAACTTCCACGTAACTGATGGGCACCTGGGGACTAGTCTATGCAGCTGAGTGTGCCTCAGAAAGCCCTCCCCACCCCCGAAAATGTACATTCCAGTGATGGTGAGCAGTCTGTTCACTGAGCCCTACATATCAGTCACATGCCTTTGAAGCATCTTGTCCACATCTGCTTTCCTCACAGCAGTGCTTTGAACAATCTGGGAGCTCAATCAATGCTTGCAGTGTCGAGTTGAATGTCTGATAAGCACTTGGAACACTGGTTGAATTCATCTCTCTGTTTTATAGCTACTTTTAAGATTCTTATGAGGATGGATATTTTTATGGTTTCCTAGCCTTACATGATGCTTCCAATTTCTCGAAGTAAAAAGAAAAGACTCCAGTGGGTTCTCTTAATGGACCAATGAGTAAGAAAAAAAACCCTTAACTACCCTGTGCCATGCTCAGAGGCATGAAATACTTATATCAGCAGTTTGCTAGAACAAATATTTCATTCCCATAATCCACTTTATCTATGTTCATGCAAAGAAAACCACAAGCTAACACTGAATGTACCTTAGCATTCTAATCAGATGTTTGGGCTCAGGGCCTTTAGAAATATGATTGAAGTTCTCAATTTATTTTATAAAGAAAAAAGAAAGCACATTTTTCCCCTAAATAAGCTTAAGTATTTCCTTCCTTCAGGCAGGCCTCCAAATGCTTACCACTAAAACAGATTCCAGGTGAAGTTTAATTAAAAATAAAATAAACATGCAACTAGACTGAAGTGTCACTAGGGTAGGGTGAAGAGATTAAAAATCATGCCACATACATCCTTAAACTAACCCTTTGCCACCTTCCCCTCCGTGAGCAAGGTGGTGCCCTTTCCAGGAAGGGAGTCCAAGTCCTGATAGTCTTTAAGATCCAAAGTTCATTTTATCAAGAGTTCAAAGTACATTCAGGGGTAAACAGTAAAGCATAACATCTTCCAGCTGCTACTTGAGCAAAGTCTTGGTGGCTGGTATATCACGCCCTTCTAATTACTTTAACCTTGAGTTTTAACGTTGCTGCAGATGATTTATTCATAGAAAAACCATTTATACATACATTTGCATAATTACATCCAGTGCCTGATTATATATACTCTGTGCGCCCTGGTATGCTCCGTATCCATTTCAAGCTGCAGCGTGATCTACCTTCTTTCCTCCTCTATTTCTGAGCTCAGAGTAAACAGTGCGAGAAAGGCACATCCTGCCGCCACGGAAGCCTCATTCCTTCCAAACATGACGCTGGCTCCCCTTCAATGCCTCATTTTTCCGATTTCTTTGTTTGGTCTCCTTTGCCCATTTCTGGTGCTTAGAACTACAGCCAGTAAATAAAAGTCAGTCTGTTCTTTACCAGGTTCATTTACTTTAATAGGGTGAAACCAGACTGTTTGTGGCTTAAATGAGAAAATGGTGGGGAGGCATCACTCACAGGAACTGGACATTTTTCTTTAAAGGGCCATAGGTTTGGGACTCACTAAAGAATTAGGGGAAGAGGCATTCTGTGTCCTTCAAGACATTTTCTCATGTTGCTAACATTTTTAAAATTTCTACTTCAGTTATTGGAAACAATTGCTCAATAAATTACAACTTGTTTAAACAAAGCAGGCAAATTTTCCATCTTAGTATCTTCTAAGATGTATTATAATGTGCACTGTCCTTAAGAAGACGTAGAAAGACCCAGAGTTGCTGGAACCTTAGAATCAGGTTTTAGAAATAATACTTGTAGAGTATGAAGGGGTAAGAGTACAAATAGTTCACAGTTAAGGAAGTAAGGTTTATTGGTGAATTTTTAGAAGTCACTGAGAATAAAGCAAAAACAAGAGAAAGTAGGTTAATAAGATACTTCAGACATGAGAGAAGCTTTTGAGTAAAAGGAAATATTCATACATGATATGTTGTTTAAAAGGGATATCTGGGAAGAAAAATATTCACAAAAGTCACTGCAGTGCAAAAATGATCTATAAGCGAAGAGGTTAACACGTGGAGGTGGTAGATGCTAAGGGCTCCAGTGATCCATGGCTCAAGCATACGCTGGTCTTCGGTGACAGACCGTAATACCAGGTGCTAGGCATCAGAGTAAGTACATGTCCAAATGTACAGGTGATGTGAAGAATCTATAATCCAAGAGGGAGCCCAGGTTGCAAACAGCATTTATAAATAAAATATTATCCAATTCCTCCTTTTGACAGAAATGGATAGGATTTAAAAAAATATAATGCTTGAGAAGACTGAAAGATTTAGATAATTGATAGGAGTGATAATGTGAATGTTTATCATTGTTCATCAGAAATTAAGTATGTATGTCCAAGCTGTTACCATCAGTGAAGTTTACAGATGGGCAAATCATAACTTCCATATTTTTATAGGTAGTATGGCTCCAAATGATTTTGAGGTTACAATCTGTGGCATGTACTTGCTTCTAGTAAATCTAATTTAAGCTACACAGGGTTACTGAGATATTCTAAGCTTTACTTGGAAAGAAAAATTATTTTCTGATAATTTAAAGTCGGCCTTGCACCAAATTTCCTCTTAAAATGGTCCTAATAGAAATGGGAATCTCTTGACCCTTTTAGGCCTGCTGTCAGTAACTGGTTAAGCAGAGGCAGAGGGACGCTTGTAGCCCAGGCCTTGTCCTGGTCAGTTAGAGTGTGTCATGGAGAAGAGAGGGAGACTGGGGCCTCAAAAGGCCTACGACTTAGTTGGTCCAAGAGGATGGAACTGGGGCATGGCTGCCCGGCAGCGCCCTGCTCTCCGTGCACTGGGAGAGCAGGTGTGCAGCATTGCCCTGGTATGCTCCGTATCCATTTCAAGCTGCAGCGTGATCTACCTTCTTTCCTCCTCTATTTCTGAGCTCAGAGTAAACAGTGCGAGAAAGGCACATCCTGCCGCCACGGAAGCCTCATTCCTTCCAAACACGACGCTGGCTCCCCTTCAATGCCTCATTTTTCCGATTTCTTTGTTTGGTCTCCTTTGCCCATTTCTGGTGCTTAGAACTACAGCCAGTAAATAAAAGTCAGTCTGTTCTTTACCAGGTTCATTTACTTTAATAGGGTGAAACCAGACTGTTTGTGGCTTAAATGAGAAAATGGTGGGGAGGCATCACTCACAGGAACTGGACATTTTTCTTTAAAGGGCCATAGGTTTGGGACTCACTAAAGAATTAGGGGAAGAGGCATTCTGTGTCCTTCAAGACATTTTCTCATGTTGCTAACATTTTTAAAATTTCTACTTCAGTTATTGGAAACAATTGCTCAATAAATTACAACTTGTTTAAACAAAGCAGGCAAATTTTCCATCTTAGTATCTTCTAAGATGTATTATAATGTGCACTGTCCTTAAGAAGACGTAGAAAGACCCAGAGTTGCTGGAACCTTAGAATCAGGTTTTAGAAATAATACTTGTAGAGTATGAAGGGGTAAGAGTACAAATAGTTCACAGTTAAGGAAGTAAGGTTTATTGGTGAATTTTTAGAAGTCACTGAGAATAAAGCAAAAACAAGAGAAAGTAGGTTAATAAGATACTTCAGACATGAGAGAAGCTTTTGAGTAAAAGGAAATATTCATACATGATATGTTGTTTAAAAGGGATATCTGGGAAGAAAAATATTCACAAAAGTCACTGCAGTGCAAAAATGATCTATAAGCGAAGAGGTTAACACGTGGAGGTGGTAGATGCTAAGGGCTCCAGTGATCCATGGCTCAAGCATACGCTGGTCTTCGGTGACAGACCGTAATACCAGGTGCTAGGCATCAGAGTAAGTACATGTCCAAATGTACAGGTGATGTGAAGAATCTATAATCCAAGAGGGAGCCCAGGTTGCAAACAGCATTTATAAATAAAATATTATCCAATTCCTCCTTTTGACAGAAATGGATAGGATTTAAAAAAATATAATGCTTGAGAAGACTGAAAGATTTAGATAATTGATAGGAGTGATAATGTGAATGTTTATCATTGTTCATCAGAAATTAAGTATGTATGTCCAAGCTGTTACCATCAGTGAAGTTTACAGATGGGCAAATCATAACTTCCATATTTTTATAGGTAGTATGGCTCCAAATGATTTTGAGGTTACAATCTGTGGCATGTACTTGCTTCTAGTAAATCTAATTTAAGCTACACAGGGTTACTGAGATATTCTAAGCTTTACTTGGAAAGAAAAATTATTTTCTGATAATTTAAAGTCGGCCTTGCACCAAATTTCCTCTTAAAATGGTCCTAATAGAAATGGGAATCTCTTGACCCTTTTAGGCCTGCTGTCAGTAACTGGTTAAGCAGAGGCAGAGGGACGCTTGTAGCCCAGGCCTTGTCCTGGTCAGTTAGAGTGTGTCATGGAGAAGAGAGGGAGACTGGGGCCTCAAAAGGCCTACGACTTAGTTGGTCCAAGAGGATGGAACTGGGGCATGGCTGCCCGGCAGCGCCCTGCTCTCCGTGCACTGGGAGAGCAGGTGTGCAGCATATGAGCTAGCAGGTCAGAACCTTCCGAAGTTGAGCAAGTGAGTTCCTATTCTTCTGGGGAAGGAATGAAATTAGAGAAAGAGGTGAGAGGAGGCTTCAGGCCAAACCCTTGATTATTCTGGAGCAGATCTGGCCACTGGGCAACATTTGATATGAAATGATTT